ACAGATAGGCAATAGGAGTAAAGATAGGAAAGTAGAAATTATTTTCACTAAAACATAGTCCCTACACTTCTGGGAAGTGTGCAGTTGATCAATAAATTTTTGTTGATTGATAGATTGCATTACTGCTGAGCCCCTGCCGTGGGAAACACTTGGCCATGCATGGAAAACCGCTTTTATGTAACTTCTAATACAGATGCCATGAATCCTTGCAACTTGTTGCAAAAACCATCATAGACTTCAATGTTGCATTGAACCTAAACTGGGCTACCCTTTAGGACTCCTCCCTCCTCATTAGCCTCCAAACTGACATCTTCTAGGAGGACTTCATACATTGTCATCATCATCACAAGTGCTGCCACGTGCAGAGCACCTGCCCTGTGCAAGGACTTTCTGATGTAACCTCCTACAGTCCCCACTGCAGCCCTGTGACAAGGCTGTGCTAACTCCAATTTACAGACCAGAACTGAGGCCCAGCGGGTAAAATGACCTGCCTGATGTCATGCAACTAGAAAGCCTGGGATTTGAACACAGGCCTGCCTAACTTCAAGGCCTCCATGGTTTCCACTCCTTCAAGTCGCAAGGGAAGAGAGGGAGGAAATGCAGTCATTTGAGTTCTGGAAAATCTAGCATGCCAAGGAAAGATCGATGGCTTTCGGAAAGAACCAGCAAGATCCACAACTGGTGAGAAATATATGTTGATAAGGGAGTTGGTCATTAGAGACTTTTCCAGTTTCCAGTGTCCCAGTGTCCTTGTCCCTGCCTCTTTGAGCCCAGGCCTTGGTCTGCTCTCAGCTTCCTGCTGCCTCACCTGGAACAAGAGCTTTCTCTTGGCTGTATGCCCTCACTTCCCTGACTGGGCTAGCTGCGCATTCTCATCCATCCCGGATGGTCAGTGGGACTAGAGTTTCCCCAAGTATATTCAATAGCACGTTAATAGTGGTTCAGATAGAAAGGTCTTGTTAAGTTTGTTTGGGAAGCTCTGATTAAATAAAGGTAAAAAGATTATTTTCTATAGGACCTGTTAGGGCCTTTAATGTGTTAAAGAGCTTTATTAAAATCCTAAGAAAGGGCTATAGACTTTTCATTTTCCAAATTAAATCACAGAGTCTTTTAATCAAGGTCACCTTGGGGGACAGAATTCTGCCCTAGACAAGTGTGGAGAGAGATCCAAGTACCAGGCAAAGATTTAGGGGTGAGTTGAAGTGTGTTATAATCAAGTATAGAGATAAGATCAGAATTAGAATAAATTGTTGCTAACAGCTAAGACTTAGTAACAAAAAGTTTAGTTTTACTTAGATGTTTATTTCTTTATCAAGCTTTAGCTATAAAGTGAGCTTGCTCTATATAGTAATATATTTTTGCTATTCACTGGTTAAAGTTATTTCAGTAGTTATAAGCTTTTATTTGAACAGAGTAAAAAGGAGAAAAGAATGCTAATTCTTAGCCAGGGGCAACATACCCATAGTGATTGTTCATTTTTCTTGTTTTCGTTTTGTTTTGTTTTTTTTTTTTTGAGAACAAATTAGTGATTATCTTGAAAATGGGATCTGTGAACCTACACCTATATCACTCCCTCATTCTCAGCAGATCCTGCGTGGAGAGGGATGTCTGCTCACCTTGACCTAGAGGTAATGACTACTGTCTCATGATTTGTTCTTCCACTCACAATTATCATAGACAACTCTTAAGCCTTCTCACTGTGGTTGAATACCAGAGAGCAATTTGGTTAGAGGGAATAACACTATTTGGGGGCAATGTCCCTATTTAATAGGAGGGGAAACAAGGATCCAGCATGCTCAGCCACCTGGCAACCTTTACACAGAAGGTTCTGGCAGGTGGGGGCTTAGAACTCAGACTGCCAGCATCAGGAAGCCCATTTAGACACCATTCTAAAAGATCCTACAGTGAATAAGAGAAATATTGCCAAGGATGGCAACTCTGGATATTTCCAACAGCTCCATTCAAATGCTGAGAAGATGACCCTGCCCTGCTAAATAAGGTGCTGCTTTGGCAGACTCAGGCGACATGGATTAGGGGAACCCAACCCAGGCCCTCGCTTTTGTGATCTGTGCATAACTCTCTCCCTCACGCTTCTCTAGCCCCTGCCAGGGTGGTAGAGATGAGCCACACTTAGGAGGCTGCCACCCGCTGCCTCAGCACTGGAGCCAAGGGAGGAGAGGCAACCGGAGACACTGATGTCTGCTCTTGTTTGCTTTGGGCTCTCACCGGAGCCTTTAGGTGAGCCTAGCTCAGCTTTCTTCCCAGGAAGGGCATTTGATCTTCCTCTTTTAAAGGAATTCCAAAGAATATGAGTAAAGACCTCACCAGGAAGGGCTGGCATTCAATCGACGGGTGGAGTAAATGTCTCAAGGAAGAACCTGACACAGAGTCCCCTTCATGGATTGTCTATGGATGAATAATGTTTAAATAATGTTTAAAAAAAAATAATGTTTAAAAAAATTTAAAAATCTAAACATTTATTGTTGGACACGATGTATTTAAATTTCAAAACAACCCTGCAAGTAGGGTAAGTGCTTCCTTTTACAAATAAGTAAAGAGAGAAGTCAAGTTCCCCACTCAAGGTCAGTACACAGTGAGAGGTGGGCATGGGGTTTGAGCCCAAGTCTCTGAACTCCATCTTGACAAGCTTTTTATTAGACACAGCTACCTTACTCTTGTGTGTCACTTTGTAATTTTCAAAGGAATTTCACTTACATTCTATCCTGTAAGGCTCACCACAAGCCAGTGAGGTAGGAGAGGGTTAGGCAGATTAGAGCACAGAATTAATGTGTTAAATCATGGCCCCAGGTCACCCAACCCAACTCCATCTGAGTGGAAGTCTCACTCTTTTCTGTCCCAGGCTGGCTTTCTTACTCTCCACTCATACTCAGCTCCCTTTCCTTATCATCCTCATAGGTCAGTTTCTCAGGGGTACAGAGTCATCTTGAGAACAGCCAGGGCCAAACATGTTATTCCCTTCCTGCTGCCCCCAAATAGAGTCCTCGCGGTAGCTAACCGCACAGTGCTTACCAGGCGTCAAGCACTGCACTTAGCATTCTACATTTATGGAGCTTGTTTAATGCTCCAGCAACCCCGAGAAGTACCTGTTATTATCAGCCCCATTTTACAGCTGATGAAATCTGACACATAAAGTTAAGTACTCTGTCCAAGGTCGAAGAGCTAGTGAGTAGTGGAGCTGGGATCCAACCGGGCGTACTGATGCCAGACACGCTGCAGAGCAGGGAATCGAGAATGAGCAGCAGAGCACTTGCAGTCACGCACCTCGACATCCCTCATGGTCTTTCAGACCAGTCCTCGGCCCTCCACTGGCTTGTCCAGAAACATCCCAGAGAGACAGAGTGTTCACTGCCAAGTTGACTGGAATTCTGGAGATATACCAAACACCTATTTCTTGGGGAGTCTAGAATCAGTCCCTCTCTGCTCCTGTCATACGTGTGAAATCTCCTATGTAGACGATAACCTGAGAAGTTGTTCTTGCCATGTGTGGTGTGGTTGGGTGTGGAGGTGGGTTGGCGTGGGGATGGGGGATGGTTGAGCTCTTGGAAGTGAGAGCAGTGACTCATCTGTGTGTCCATTCTGCCATCAGGGGTCCTCCATCCTCCCACTCTGGCCTAGATGGAACACCCCTGGTCTAGACCTGGGCTTCTCAAACTTCCTGGATCATAAGGATTACCAGGAGGGCTTATTAAAAATACAAACACTCAAGCCCATCCTCTGAAGATTTTCCTTCATAGGACTGGGTCTAGGTATTATGCTCTTAGACATTGGCCATCAGTCAGCTGACACGTGTTTGTGCTGTACTTGCCCTATGCTAGGAGCTGGGCTCAGAATGGGCAGGACTCAAGCCCTTCCCTCGAGGAGCTCAGGGCATAGAGGGGTACTGATCAGTGAACAGGCAAGTGTACTTTATGCCAGGACCATGATGGGGAAAGGACAGGGTGGGAAAACAGGGAGGGGTATCTGACCCAGACCAGGTGGTAGAGCAGGGAGGAGATCCTACCCACCAGATCTGAGTCAGGGCCCAGACATGACACACACTCTCATCCTAAGATGAGTGGGGCCCTTGAGCTGCCTCTACCAGCCAGGTAAAGGGTCCCACCATTCTGTCCCCTACTGCTCCTAGATCCAGAAATCACCTGCTGTAGGTCTAGGATGGAGGGTGGGGGGCTTGGTCTGAGACCCCTGCCCCGCGCATGTCCCCTCCTGTTCCCAAGCCTCACACTTGTTTGCTCCATATCATAAGCCTCCTTTTTCCCATGGTCCAAACATGTTAGTTCCACTTTAGTGTCTTTCCCATAAGCAGCATTTCTCAGCTCAAACTCCAGGCTTGCTTAGATGGATTCCTTTGGCTGTGGTGGCGGCAGAGTGGACCCGGTGGAGTCAGTGCACCTCTTACCTCTCGCCCCTACTCCAGGCCTGTTCTGAGGCATTGGGCGCAGGTGAAATGCCATCAGAAGACAATGCCCCAAAATGGGAGAAGCAGGCTCAGCCAGTGCGGGAGCCCTGGACACTGTGGCACTGCAGGGAGGGACCCAGCCCACCTGGAAGAGGTTGTGCAGTCCTCAGCCTCTGTGTCATGTTGCTCAGTGGCTCCTAATCCCCTGATGTCTAAAGCCAATTTATCCTGCTGGAACAGGTGCTGCTTGGGTTCCCTAAGACCCTTGAGGAAATCACACGAGGGGAGGGAGGAGCTCCAGCATTTTGTCAACTGAGGCAAGTTTGAGTGATTAAGCTAAGAAAGCAAAGCCATTTTGGCCCAGAGGATTATCTTTGAGGTGTGCTGGGAACCAAGAAGTAACTTATTGCCTGCAAGGCAAGCCAAACCCAAGATGACTCTCAACTAATTGCTTGCCTCTCCTTCTGCCAAGCCAGGCTCTCTGGTATATAAAGGCCAGTCTCCTCTGTCGTCCTCATCCTCTCTCTTCATCCCTCTCCACTCCTGCTAAGTGATCACTAGCTCACCTCCAAGCTCTCTCACCATGAACAGACAAGTCTCCAAGAAATCCTTCAGCAGCGGGAGCCAGGGCTTCTCCGGCCGCTCCGCTGTGGTCTCCGGCAGCAGCAGGATGAGCTGTGTGGCCCGCTCTGGGGGAGCCAGCGGAGGGGCCTGTGGATTCCGGAGTGGAGCAGGTGGCTTTGGTAGTCACAGCCTCTACAACCTGGGAGGCAACAAGAGCATCTCCATCAGTGTGGCAGGTGGTGGCTCCCGGGCTGGTGGCTTTGGTGGAGGACGTAGCAGCTGTGGCTTTGGGGGCAGTTATGGAAGTGGCTTTGGGGGAGGTTATGGAGGTGGCTTTGGTGGTGGCATTGGTGGTGGCTTTGGTGGTGGCTTTGGTGGTGGCAGAGGAGTAGGTGGTGGCTTTGGAGGGGTTGGTGGCTTTGGAGGAGCTGGTGGCTTTGGAGGAGCTGGTGGTTTTGGTGGTCCTGGTGGCTTTGGTGGTCCTGGTGGCTTCCCTGGGGGGATCCAGGAAGTGACTGTCAACCAGAGCCTCCTGCAGCCCCTCAATGTGGAGATCGACCCCCAGATTGGACAAGTAAAGGCCCAGGAGCGGGAGCAGATCAAGACCCTCAACAACAAGTTTGCCTCCTTCATCGACAAGGTGAGGGCAAAGCCCAGAGGTGTTGTGGAGGGCTCGGGCTGCCCCTGGGGTTCGTATAGGAAGATGCCAGGGGGACCCGCGAGACTTGGAGGCAGAGGTGCCTGGCTCTTGTCCTGGTTCTGCCTTGGTCCCTACAGGACAGTGAGCATGTTTCTCTTGCTCTTTGGGCCCTGTTTTCCCAGCTGTGAAATGGGGGAAGGGTCCCTGGTCCTAATTTCCTTCTAGGAATGAGACAAGGGAAAATGAGGTGAGGGTCCAAACACGCTCTTAGCTCTGAAGAAGGGCCATTAGTCACAAAATGAGTGCAGTTAACTTTCAGTTCCTCCTGAAAAGCTATGCTTGATAATCCAGACTAGCTGGTAATCAAACTTACAGTGGTACAAATCTTGGAACTGCCCCTAAATGGTGAGTATTGGCGGCTGACCTACCTTCCAAACGATGCTGCGCTTCAGCCACTGTTAACCTGGGCTGCCTGCGCCGGGGCAGGGGCGGGTGTGCTGAGTCCGTGGGGGGCGAGTCCAGGATGGAAGTGAAACCTAGATCAGCTGCGAGCTGGGTAACCGAAAGGAGGTCTCCATATGTGAAACTTCTAAGGAAATGTTAGACTCCTTTCATTAAAGACTGTCTTCACTGCCTTTATGGACCTGAAAAAGCTTATATCTAAAAACACACCTAGGGCAGTCCCAGGTTTGACTGTTAGCTTTGTTACTTAGTAGACATGCCACTTCGGGCAACTCAAACTCTTTGAGCCTCAGTTTTCTTATCTACAAAATGGGGATCATGACACCTTCTTTGCAGGTGGTTGTGAGGATTGAGATAGAATGTATGAACATAGCAGGTATAGCATAAGCACTCAACAGATTCTAGCTCTCCCTTTCTAAATCTTCATTCTTCCCAAATTCCAAAAAACAGAGGCAATTGCAGATTGAAGGAAGAACTGGGTTTATTCTCCACATTTCCATTGTCTGGGATAGGTGGCCCCACATGCCCAACTCAAGAGGCTAACTCCTTTTCTTCCTCCCCTGACGCAGGTGCGGTTCCTGGAACAGCAGAACAAGGTCCTGGAGACCAAGTGGGAACTGCTCCAGCAGCAGACCACAGGCTCCGGCTCAGGCCCCAGCAGCCTGGAGCCTTTCTTTGAATCCTACATCAGCTTCCTGAGCAAGCAGCTGGATTCGCTTCTAGGGGAGAGGGGGAACCTGGAGGGAGAGCTGAAGAACATGCAGGACCTGGTGGAAGACTTCAAAAAGAAGTGAGGGCTCCCACTGGGGAGTTTCCCCTTCTGGGGGATTAGCAGGGAGGTGTGGTCCTAATTGGGGATTTCGACTGTTCCTGACTGTACCTTCAGTCAATACTCTGGGCTGGGCTTATCGAGTGAAGTGTGACCACACACAAGGGGGTGAGAGGATGGGTACTGAGACTCCTACGTGGCTGATTATTACATATTTTCCAGTCTCCAGGCAGGCCCCCTCCCATACCAGCTCAGATGGACAAAAAAAGTCCTCCCAGAGTTTAGAGCCCTTTAGGATGGGGAACTCTCCACACTTTACTGTACATAGGAATCCCCTTGGAAGCTTGTCAGTAAGGCATATTCCTGTATTCCAGTCTTACATATTCTGAATCAGTAGGTGTGGGGCAGGTCTCAGGAGGCTGAGTGCTCCCTAGCTCCTGGGGACTCTAGGAAGATGGTCCAGGGCTGCATTCTGTAAAGTGCTCTTTCAATGTGTCCCCTCTGATCCCCTGTTTCTGAAGCTTTGTCAGCCCCCTCCTGCATGTTCCAAATTGTAGCTTGCATTCTCTGAGGTCTGTGAGAGGTAAACTGGTCCTCTTAAGGTGGGAGGGAGCTCCAGACATCCCCAGGGGTCAGGACCCCCAGGTACACCTGCTCTGGGAGGCTCCATTCCCTTTTGACTACACAGACCCAGTGGCACCCAGTTTGTGGCAGGCTCCATGCTGGGCTCTGCGAATCTAGAGCAACTCAGCTTCACATTCCCAGAAACCTCTTTTCTCCCAGAATCATTCCAATTCTCCAATCTTCATGAAATGCAAACTATTGGTAAGAGATTTTGGTCCTTAACAGGCAGGAATCCCACAGCCTTGATGTATTCAGAAGGCTTGAATTTATTTTCATCCCAAATTCCTACAAGAAACAGCAACTGTAATTAAGGAAAACAGAAACAGAGAAAACAGAGGCAGAAACACGGTGTGAGAGCAAATACCTCTTTGGGTCCCGTAGGCACACATGGTGCTTTGTGAGGCCAATCAAAGAGCCCAGGCAGGTCGTCAGGCTCCTTGAAGTCTTCCCTTGTCCTGACTACCCACACCTCTTGCCTTTCAAGGGGTTTAGAGGAAGGAGGGCAAGGCAGTGCCCTGACTCTGCAAGATCTCTGGGCAGGACCAGCTACGTAATCTGCAGTGCCTAGTGAAAAATGAGAATACAGAGCCCTTGTTAAAAAACTATAAAGAATTTCAAGATGGAGCCAGCCTAGTATTCAGCTGAGTGTGGGGACCTTCTGAGCCCAGGGTCCTGTGTAACTGCGTAGGTCACATGTCCATGAAGTTGGTTCTGCCTCTGGGTGAGGAGATGCTGCATGAGTGCCTGGGATTCTCATCTCTTTTTTTCACGTCTGAAATATCACTGTCCAAATGTGTGCCTCTTTCTGTTTCAGGTATGAAGATGAGATCAACAGACGCACCACAGCAGAAAATGAGTTTGTGGGGCTCAAGAAGGTAGGTGAGCTAGGATGAGCATATCCACACTCCCTTTCTGGGAGCTGTCCCCATGGGGAGAGCAGAGCCAGCCGCTCTGGGGCACAGAGACTCTGTGCTGTGTGCAGGATTTACAATTTTTCTTACATTTTTGGGGATGAGGTACTTGCAGAAGGAAGCTGCTTTAAGTACACTGCAGTGGGGGTGGTATCTTAAAATGCTACTGCAACTAATGAACTGATGTGCAGCATTAATCAAGGTTTTTCAGCCTACAAATGTACACTGAATGTTAGCAATCAACAAATACTTGTTGCAGGGGGGCAAGGGCAACATATGTAACCTAAACATCTGTACTCCATAATATGCTGAAATAAAAAAAAAAAAAGAACAAATACTTGTTGCACATTTAAAGCAATCATCATAAAGACGAAGTAGTGAGAATACCCTCATTTCTATTCAGGAGGTTGGGTTTTTGGTACTATATAACCAAAGTCACATAAATATTAGGTAATGTGATTTTTCTACCCTAAAATTAGATGGCTACTCTGTGCCTGGCTAATATGCTTTGTATTTTGTTAAAGCATTGGGGTTGGATTGGTCAAAGCAATTAAAATGGTTTTCTTCATTTTCAAAGGGAAGGTGAGAAGTCACAATGAAGAGGAGGGCTGGGAGGGACAAAGAAGAGATGAGGGCTTAGGAAGGAGCCGCGGTGGGGAGGGGAGCCCAGGGTCATTCTTTGGGTGTGACCTCCCCTTCAGGACGTGGACGCAGCTTACATGAACAAGGTGGAGCTGCAGGCCAAAGTGGACAGCCTGATGGATGAAGTCAACTTCCTGAGGACCCTCTATGACATGGTAATTCCTTGGTTTGCCAAGCTCCAGAGCCTTCCTGTCTACATCTTCCCAAGCAGGCATCCCAAGTGTAACTTTAGGGGACAGTCAAGCAGCAGGACACTCACAAAACCAGCAGTAGGACTCAGAACTCATCTCTGCCCCACCCAGGAAATGTTAACTTAGCCTGCACAGACCTGGCCCACAGGCCAGGGTCCCTCTCTGTCCTCAGCCCATTTTGCTCTTGGTTAAGCTCCTACACCAGTGTCACTGCTAGTTTCTTCATCATACTCCTCCCTACTCTGCCACAGTAGGGCTCACTGGCTGACACTTTCAGGCTGACAACCTGTTTATATTTGCATATTTCTGGCATCCTTTTAGGCTATAGCAGGGCCTGAAATGTAAGCTTATTTTTCCAAGTGTCCCATTCCCAGCCCATCCTTGGGGTATCTCTGCAAGTAGTGGTTTCCAGCATCTCCTGGGGTCAGGGGATGATGAAAGTGACTATCCATGTTTCTTGCAGGAGCTATCCCAGATGCAGAGCCACGTCAGTGACACGTCTGTCATCCTGTCCATGGACAACAACCGCTGCCTGGACCTGGACAGCATCATCACTGAGGTCCGTGCCCAGTATGAGGACATCGCCCAGAGGAGCAAGGCTGAAGCCGAGGCGCTGTACCAGACCAAGGTGGGAGCCCTTCCCTTGTCCCTATAGTCTAGTTTTAAGACCCGATGACCCTCATCAAGAATGTGCCTACACTTTGCCAAGCCATGTTGATTGGTGTGTCTGCTTTCAGCTCGGGGAGCTGCAGACCACGGCCGGCAGACACGGGGATGACCTGAGGAGCACCAAGAGTGAGATCGCCGAGCTCAACAGGATGATCCAGAGGCTGCGGGCTGAGATCGAGAGTGTCAAGAAGCAGGTGGGGCCGGGTCTAATGGAGAGATCCTGGAGGTCTTCTGGGCCCCGGGAAGAAGGAGAAGCACCAGCTGTGCTCCTCTGTCACAGGCTGTCTCCGTCCCTTCATGGTGTCACACAGTCTCTGGGAATGTCTGTTCTCCCACATGTTCCTCTTGGAGGCTGGGCTTCTTGGAATGCTCCCCAAGGAGAAGTGTTGGCTGCTCTGCATTATTGGAGTGAAGTGATTAAGCAAAGGAGTTTTTAACAGTCTTGCAAAAAATGTCAGAGACTAACCAGACCACTACTACCTTCACCAGCCTAAGAAAGCAAATCAGTGTTCCTTTTCCTGATGAGACATGAGTCGATTTCAATGGGCTGAAGATGCATTAATCAATTGCAAAATTGGCTTCTGTTTTCTGAGCATGCTCCATTGGGATTTCTAAGGAAGGGGAGGAAGGGAAGGAAGGGATGCTGGATGGGGGGAGAAGATCTCCTCTCAGGAAAGATCAAGTGTTTGTTTCCTGGTCATTATGCTAATTGATCTTCTACCTCCTGCCCCAGAATGCCAACTTGCAGACAGCCATTGCGGAAGCTGAGCAGCGTGGGGAGATGGCCCTCAAGGACGCCAATGCCAAGCTCCAAGAGCTGCAGACTGCCCTACAAAAGGCCAAGGATGACCTGGCTCGGCTGCTGCGTGACTACCAGGAACTGATGAACGTCAAGCTGGCCCTGGATGTGGAGATCGCCACCTACCGCAAGCTGCTGGAGGGCGAGGAGTGCAGGTGAGAGGCCATGGGGTCACCATTCTCCAGACAGGATTTTAGAGTGAACTTTGATAATGAGGCAAGGGGGCAAGATGATAAGAAGAGGAACACTCAGACGAAGGCAAGAAGTCTCTCGAATGACAGAGTTAAGGATTTGAGCCCCACTATTTTATATCAGTCAAGATCATCCAATTCTCTAATTTATGCTGGACATCAGTGTTGTATTACATACCTCTATCAATCTCCAGTATGTGCAATGTGTTACGAAAGTGCTTTGGAGTTGTGACAAAAGTTTTATACCAGTGCTGTCCACTGGAACTTTCTGAGGTGACAAAAATGTTCTATTCTTGTGCTAATACAGTAGCTATTAGCCACTTGAGCACTTGAAATATGGCTAATGCAACTGAGAAACTGAGTTTTACACCTAGTTTAATTTTAATTACCTTAAATAGCTTCATGTGGCTAGTGGCTACTATATTGGAAAGCTCAGTATAGACAATCCTCCAACTCCCCACCCCTGAAGCTGAGTCAATCAGGGAGAGGGTTGATACATACAGACTCTTGAAAAACAGCACAACATTAAGTGGCAGACAAAGGCTTAATGAGTGGATAGCAAATGCTAAAGGAGTGTCAAGAATTGAGTGAGAGATCTTTCTGCTGACCCGCTGCTTCACACATCCTGTGTTCAGAGCCTCTGTCCTCAGGCAGCTCACACTGTGATGGAGGCAGCAGGACCCAAGTATGAGAAGAAAAGGATTTCTTATGAGTCTCTCTAGAAAAGAGTGAGAGTGAAGATGGTGTTAAGTGTATTGAGAGTTGTGGGGTGAGGAGGGAGTGGTTAACCAGTGGGCACACGTTGGCAAGGTGGGCAGACACATTCCACGTTTGCTCAGATAGGTGGACGTGTCTGCTCCCTCAATAAGAAGGTGGCACAGGAGGATGGGCAGTGTGGGCGGGACATTTCAAATCCATCGTGTGTTGAACGTCAGTTCCTCTTGTATTTTCTCCACCTGAATAACCACCATTGCCTCCACCACCACCCAAGGAGGGCTCACTCCTGGAAAGGGAAAGTTGGAAATAAAGGCAGGGCTGGGTAGACAAGCAGGGGAAGGACATGCCAAGGTGGGAAGATGGTCTCAGCAGGGGATGGGAAGTGAGGACAGGACAAGCTGGGGTTGGGAGTTGAGTAGTTTGCCTGGAGGAATCTTTAGGCTATGGGAAAAAGTGTAGGAAGATGGAGAAATGGGCTGTGGTTGGCGGAAGTCCTAGAAGTCTCAATTCCTGAAGCGGTGCCCCTTTTCTGGGAAGCTAAGGTCATGGAAACAGACTGGAAATAGCCTTTCTTTTCTCAGGAGTTTGACCCTTAGTAGGGAAAATGAGAGGATATGGCTCCCAAGGATGTGAACCCTCAGCTCTTTGGCTCTTGACTCATTGCAGAAATAATTCACATCTCATTCTCTTCCTTTTCAGGATGTCTGGAGAGTGTCAGAGTGCTGTGAGCATTTGTAAGTAACCCATTCAAAACCTGTCTCTCTGGGTTGTGAAAAGGGCAACTAGAAACATCCTCACACACCAACCTTCAGGCAAGAGGGCCTGACCCATTTTAAGAGGCCAGGCCACCCCAAAGCATCTAGGGTCTCAGGCCATGGCCACACACTCTATCTCTAGTGTAACTGCCCCTTGAAATCTCTTAGTCCAAAGCTAAATCCCCTGTGGTCTTGGGAAGTGCCCTAGGTTGGAGAATCTGAAATTTCTGTGGACACTTTTGGTTCCTATTCTTGGGAAAGGGCACAAAAGGGCCAGGCTCACTCTATTTGCTAACGGAGGGATTAGAGGAGCTTAGCATCTTTCTCTAAGTCACACAGCCGAGCAGGGCAGGGTTGTGATACAGACCTGGGCCTCTGGCTTTCCAGGCCTTTCGCCTGAATTGAGTGCCTATTCTTCTGCAGCAGTGGTCAGCAACGTCACCAGTACAAGCAGCAGCGCTGGTGGTAGCCGCGGAGGCTTTGGAGGGGTCAGCGGCAGCAGCAGCGGTGGCTACAGAGGCGGCAGCGGCAGCAGCAGAGGCAGCAGCAGCTATGGAGGGGTCAGTGGCGGCAGCAGCAGCTATGGAGGGGTCAGCGGTGGCAGCAGCAGCGGCTACGGAGGGGTCAGCAGTGGCAGCAGTGGGAGCAGGGGCAGCAGCGGGGGTTACCAGAGTGGCAGCAGTGGGAGCAGGCTTGGCGGTGCCGGCAGCAGCTCCGTGAGCCAGAGTGGAATGGGCTCCAGCTCGGGCGGCATCCAGACCTCTGGAGGCTACAAGTCTGGCAGTGGAGGCAGCACCAGTGTCCGCTTCTCCCAGACCACCAGCTCCAGTCAGTACAGTTCCAAGTGATCCTCTGGGCCACATTTCCATACCCACCTGCTTCCCTCTCAGCCTGCAATAGCACTTCCCCCTCTCTGCCTGGCATCAATAGATACATATGGCGCAACCACACTTTCCCTTAAGTTCCTTGGAGAAGGGGCTGAACTCCTGGCTTCTCCATCCCCAAGACCTCTCCTGGGCCATGGAGGTTCAGCTGCCAGTCTGGGATCATGATGCCCCTGGAAGAGTCCCTGTGATGGCCCCTTACTTTGGACAATAACACCTGAGCCTAAGCCAGTCTGGGCCTTCCCAGCCTGGCTTGTTCCCACTCTGGTCCATCTCTTTCTCACCGAGAGTGGATGATCTGAAGCCGGCACATCTCAGCACCACCTGAGGAAGGCAGTGCCATGGGTGCAGTGCCAGAGGGTGGATGGTCAAGATCTCCAGACTGTTGGTTCCCAGGGAGCCCTCTCCGCATCTCGGCATCATATCCTGACTCACTTCTGTCCCCTAATTCCTTGAGCTGTGGATCCTCTGGTGATGAGTATGTCATACTTTCTTTTCTCAATAAATTGCACTGTTATTTCATATTCTGGTGTTTGGCTTTCATCCCAGGAGTCACAGAATATCAAGGCTCCAAAGTGAAGGGAAATTAGGTGGCAGTGGTGGTGGTCTTCTAGAAGTTCAGTAGTGGGTATAAAGACCACTGAATAGTCTTGGTTTTTCCTTTGTCTACTTGGTTGGGTTCCTGTGATAGGTCTGCCCAAGAGTGTTTATGTTGTTTAAGTGGAGACCGTTTCCACTCCCAATGAGGTCATTCCATCCATCCTCTAGCCTCTGAGCAGGCCTCTGTGATCCAGTCTTGGAAGAGGGTTCTGCAGTTCATTAAGGGAACTGGTTCCACTGGGACTTCAGCTTTTTTGCTCCACTCCCACTCATTCAGGCACAGAATAAATTTTCTTTCTATAAACACAGCTCCTGGGATCTGAAGGGGCCAATGCATAACACCCTCTTTTCCCTGCACAGGTTTTGAACCAATTAAAAAATAAGACACAAGAATGAGCAGACGGAGAGGCAATATTGTCTTTATTATCAACAAAGCAGATATTGGAAAACGTATCTTATGCCTCGGGTGGAAAGGGTTTCCTATTACAGGACTTTAGGATTAGGCTAGATTTCCCACCTGGGCAGAGGCAGCATAGGACCACTGCAGCCTTCCCTAGGGGTTAGACTCCTCACAGTAGGGGAGAACATAGGAGAGTAGAACACATGCTTGCTGTGGACAGCCAGTGCTAAGAGATAGAGAAGTGCTGCTTTGCATGCCCATCTCTTCCTTCCAAACCCACCAATCAGACAAGAGAGTGGGTGGGAGTGTTACACTAGCGAGGCTCACTCTAGGTGGATGTGAAATTAGGAACAGGCAATTCAGAACTGCCTGTCCTCACACCAGCATTTCCTAGCCATTGTCAGAAAGCTGAAACCCAAACCCAGGGAGGACAGGGGTAATGAGATAGCCACTGAGGGCAACTTGGGAAATTGAGAGCTTCAGGGAGACGACATTTAGGGTCTGTGCTCCTTTCCCCACGCCCCAACCAATCCCATCTGCATGCCTTTAAGCACAGTAAAATACTAGTTTGTAAGTCACTCTAGGTCAGGGCTGGACTGATGAGAGGGTCCTGGAGAGCGCCAGGGCCTGGCTTCCATATTTCGGAGCCTGAGATGGGCCATAGCTCACCTCATTTGATCTCCAAGTATAACAGCCCTGGCCTTAAGACTTGGAGCAGAAGACATTTTACAGTTCCTATACTTGAGAGTTCAATAAATCCTTGCCCATCTTTTCAAGGCCTATAGGCAGGAAGTAGCTCCTTTTCCCACTTACCCTTGGCTCAGCTCTGGGAACTCTGAGCAGGGACGGGCAGTTCTGAATTGCTCCTCTTACTGGCCTTAAAGAGGTGTTGCAAGAAACATCACCGACCTCCAGGAAAACACTCTGGGAGCTCGAGGTTGATTGTCCTGGTTCAACCCAACTTTTATTAGACTGGAGCAGCAGGGTTTGGGGACAGCAGCTTCAGTCCTTTATCCATCTGGTCCATGTGTGTTGAGAGCTTGGTCCTGGGTGTTATCTCAGGGGCCTGCATAGTGGGTGGGGAACTCAGTGAAAGTTTGGTGGTCAACTGAAAGAATGAATAGAGATGAGTAAGGAGAGAGGGACTCCCTTCCCCTATCCTGAATGGAAGATGGGATAGGTCACACTCCAAGGTGGGACAGAGCTGAAAGTTTACAGTGAGGGCCCAGGACACTCTTTTGAACTCCTGTGAGAGGGATGGTGGAGGGCAGTTACCAAGGGAGGTAGTGAAAGACTTAGGATACTTAGCATTGGGCGAGGGGGTCTTCCAGGTGGAATGCTTGACACGGTCGTGCCCCAGAGCAGTCTTACTCTCAGCTGTGCTGGAGAGAGGGGTCTACTTTGGTAGGAGCAGTGGGGTTACTGAATACAAGAATATGTTTCAGGAAAAGCAGAGAACCCTGAAGGATCGGGTAATTATCTTTTGATCCATAAATACTTAACATTAATGAAGAGCTGCAGAGTCAATCTTTCCAAGATGTATTCTCCTGTCATTGCAAACAGACACCTCTCTCAGCCTATGGGGCCTGTGATGTCCACTGCCTGGAGGCGGGAGCTAGTGCCGTAGATTGTTCCGGGCCTTGAAGATGTTTTGCACAATGAACTCACCACCAAACCACTGCTTCAATCCAGTCCCCAGCCTTCTTTTGCTGCTCTGTAGTCCAGAAACATCTCTTTAAATGACAGAAAGTCCATAAATGTGGCAGCATGTTGCCTATGTCCCCGGCCACACCAGCTTTACGCTGCTCCAACGTTGTTGTGAAAGCTGCCATGTTGGATTCGGGAATCCGCTCCAGCAGCTGTTCTTCAATATATTTTTCTACCAAAGAAAGGTAATCATTAAACATTGGCGTGCAGGTGAATTTATTCTCTTCCGTGTCTTCAAGCTCCTGGTAGTCTTTGTCCATGAAATTTCTCTGCAGTAGCTGAAACTCAGCATCTGTGATAACGTCCAGCGTCAAAGCTGGCTTCAGAGGCCAAGAGGAGGACTGCGGGAAGCTCTCTTCCTCTAGGGCTTCTGTCACTTCCGCTGCTGTATCCGCCTGAGCTCCCTGGGCAGTGGGCGACCTCCGACCAGCCTGGGGCCCCCACGGTGTCTGAGCCTGTGACCCTGGCCCCACCGCGCCCCAGCTCCACTGCCTCCCGGCCCCTGCTCCCCGCCTGTGTGGGTGACTGACCTCTAGGTGCCACGCCCTGCTACCCATCACTAGGGCCCATATCACCATTCTTAATGACTATATAATATTCCATTTTATAGATGTAGCATATCTTGATGTATATATTGTTTCTATTTTTCCTGCTATAATAAACGTCGCTGCAATGAACATACACTTCTCTGAACACTGGTCTTGTTCATTCCTTAAGATAACTTCCTAGAAGTTGACACAGGGAACTGGCAGGTACTGCTTTGGGCATTGGTTTGGGCACTGCCCTAGGCCTGCTTTAGGCATTGCTCAATTGTGCAAACATTGTTTAACTGAGTCAGGAAGTCTCAAAGTTTCAAGTTACCCTGCTCAAAACAAGATGGAGGCAGGACAAGTTACATGAATATTCCTCCTCTTGTTTAGCCTATAATTGAGCCATTTCTTAAATAGAGGGGCAAAAGGAACCAGGGGGCCGGTTCTCTTCTGCAGGGAGAACTAGCCTCTGCTCTGTTTGTGGAGTAGACTTTCTATAGTTTCTGAATAAATCTCGCTTTCACTTTATACTGTCGGCTTGCTCCTGAATTCTTTCTTGTGTGAAGCCAAGGACCCACTTGGACTTCAAGTGGCTCCCAGCATTGGGAAGTCACTTTCCTGTATCAAAGTTGTTGGAACTGCAGGGTCACTTAAAATTTTTGATTTATGTGGTCAAATTGCTCTCCAGAAAGATTGTACCAATTCATACTGTTACAGGCGGAAGGTATAAGACTTCCTATTTTCCCACTGTCTTATGAACACTGTGTGGTATTCTTTTTTAGTCTTTTTGACAATTTTCTCAGTTTTATTTTTCATTTCTTTGACTAATGAGGTTGAGCATTACAAATATGCTTATTAGTTATTTAATTTTCATTTTCTGTGAATTGTATCTCTTCATTTTTTAAGAGACAGGGTCTTGCTCTGTTGCCGGCTGGAGTGCAGTGGCACGATAGTAACTCACTATCTTCAGCTAGGCTCAAATGATCCTCCTACCTCAGCCTCCTGAGGTAGCCTCCTGAGTAGCTACACTACAGCACACCATGACGTCCAGCTAATTTTTAAATTTTTTGTAGAGATGGGGTCTCTCTAAGTTGTCCAGGCAGGTCTCAAACTCCTGGCCTCAAGTGATTCTCCTGCCTTGGCCTCTCAAAGTGCTGGGATTATAGGTATGAGCTGCCATGCCTAGCTTCTTCATTTATTTAGTCCATTTTTTCTTTGGGTGGTTATTTTATTTTTCCTAGTAATCCATACATATTCTTTATAGATAAAAAGCTAGCTATCTGTTTGTAAAATGTATTATAAACAATGTGTTATAAATGCAGATCTCCATGAGAGAAATATTATATTCAACTCTTGCCACGATATCATAACCAGATGAAAGAATGACACATCCTTATTGGCTACCTACTGTGTGATCAAGCTTGTGGTAGGTCTGAGGTCAAAGGATCTATCAGCATTTGAGCAGAAAGGGATAATTAGTTAATGATCCCTCCCAGCCCCAACCTCAGCGGAGGCTGTCCAGGGCATATTGCATTATTTAAACTACGCCTGGATGGTCTTTAGATCTGGATCTCCCTAAAGAGACAAAGAAAAACTAGAACCTGCTAGGGGAGGGTGACTTGGATGGAGAGGGTTTTACACCAATGTCATATGCTGAGGGTTGATAGGACTGAGGAAAAGTCCCTTGAGGAGGCCTAATGACCGTCCTCTACAACTGGAGCTCACAG